GAGCGTCAACTATTTTCAGTTTCAGTTTTCTAGACAACTGCTTAGAAGAACCCATGGTGCTGATTGTTGGGGCAAGGTCAGATGAGTCTGGGCATTTAAAACCTTTGAGCTTGACATCACCTGGTCTTCCCAGACGATGATTGAGAACAATCCATGACACTGGCAGGTCTCAGCCAGTCAAAGGGGGCAGTACAAGATATTAACTCTGCAGGGTGCCCAAACTTTTGCAGACGCCATTTTTTTGTTTTCTGTTATTTTGAAAGTGTAAAAATAAAATCTAACTTTTGTTGACATATTATAAGAATGTCTAATCTGTAATTTGATGCCTTTTTGGAGATTTTTTCCATCTTTCCTTGGCTTCTTTATGCACATTAATACACATTTATAGCTGGGGTGCCCAAACTTTCGATCCCGTCTGTCTGTCGAAAAGTAGGTCAGAGCATTATCCTATGATATATTGAGGGGCGCTTGTCACAGATGAGCCAGTCAGGTTAATATGAACTAAGGAGATCTCAAACAAATAGGCATGTGTTGCCTGTGCTTCATTTATAATCCTTGTGTATTGACATGTAGCATACACATGTAAAGGCTCATACACACGGGTGGTTTTGCTCTTACCGTGTTAGATGGGTGTTTAAGGTGCCCGGAAGACAGATGCAGCATATGGACTGCTGTTGCAGCCTGTTGAGGTCAGCAACTGCCTGAAAATATGCGGCATCTGGTTACGTGGACTTTCCTCATTTGGGCCATATGTCCCTGTAGCACCTTCTTGTGTACATGGTTTTTGGAGTAGTTGGAGGCTTGTTAAAGCGGAGTTCCACTCCCCCTGTCAAAAAATAAGTCAGCAGCTACAAAAACTGTAGCTGCTGACTTTTAAAAAAACAGCCACTTACCTGTCCCCTGCAGCCCGTTTCACCGGCCGTCCTGTATTCCAGGAGGCCGGCATCTAAAGTGTGGCCACTCAGCTGTGACGGCTTGCAGCTTCACAGCCAGGTACCCACTGCATATGTGCGAGTAGCACTGCGCTTCATGAATGGTCCTGTAGTCTTCTGGGACCTGTCACGTGTCCCAAAATGACTAGAGGGAGGGAGAACACCTTCCGCTCGCCTAGGTGATCGGACTGGAAGTGGGAGCGGGTACCTGACAAATTCGGGTACCCGCTCCCCAGGTGCGAGGAGGTGCCAATCCTTAATGGGGAGCAGCCCTTAAAGCAGATCTTCTCCTTTTGGGTGGAGCACCTTTAACCTCCTTAGCGGTATTCCCGAGTGTAGCTCGGGGTAAAATTTCAATACCAAGAGCGGTAACCCCGAGCTACACTGGGGGTCCCTGCAGCACTTACCTTGTCCTGCGCTCCCGCGATGTGTCCCCTGCAGCGTCCCCGGCCATCTCCTCTGGCCGATGCCGGCATCCGGCTTCCGTGTTCCGGTCCCTGTGACGTCGGGACGTACGGGCGCCGGAACCGGCGGGAAATTTGAACTTTTTAAAAAATGTCATTTTTGCTGTCATTGTTGTTTCAATGCATTTCACATATATTTTGTCCCTACTGCTTTGTCCGGCGCCCTGCCTGCATTTTGACTGTTCTTTGTGCCTTAGAAAAGTCCAAAAAGCGTCCCTTTACGTCAAAAGCTGTTTTTAGAACAGTGATAGTAAATCAGAACCACTTGCAGAATTGAGTGATAATGATTCGTGGGGGAAATTCCTCATCAGACACTGAAAACGATTTTGCGACTTTACTCAGCGATGTGCGAATTTGCCTCTGTATTTCACATTTCAGTGTTTTTGGTTTGATTATATTATTGAAATAAATTTATTATTATATTTTTTATGATTATTTATTAAATTATCATTTATGATTTCGTGTTTCAAATTTTATCCTCCCCGGGATGTTTACTAGACTCTTGTTCGGACAGATTTCAGTGAGTTATTCCTAAAAAATTACAGCCTACAATAAACTACATATTGCCATGCAAAAAAATGGTACCGCTTTCAGCACAAAAAATCGGAAAGAATCATACCGCCAGGGAGGTTAAGAAGGTGTGAGTTTTCTTTAGGTCAGGCTGGAGACTGCAGAAGTTTCAAGAAGTTGGTGAGGGGGCCAGAAGGTGCTGCCCTGTTTATAGGAATCTGGCCAATTCCCAGCCAGGAGGCCTGGCAAGGTGGTCTAATTAGTCCATTAATATGAGAGCTTGATCAGTAGGGGAGTTGGGTGGAAGATGGTGTGCTGCCGTGTAGCCTGGGGGGGACCCTGGAAAAAGGGGGGCTTCTGTCTCCAGGCTGGAGATTGGAAGAATGGGAGAAGGAAATTGACAGAGGGAGCGCCACTGCCCTGCAGTCCACTGAAGAAGCCTGCTAACCTGGAAGGAAATTGGAGCAGTGAGACCTGAAAGCAGTTTATCCAAAGCTACAGGGCATTAGGACAGTGAGTACCCCTACACCCCAGGGACCTACCGGAGAAAGGGCTGCTAGGTGCCATGCCCAACCATTTCTCCCTGGGACAGTG